AATGAATCGGACAGTTCTGGTCAGTCATAAAACAAATCAAGTACAGAATAATGATATTTTCTTTTGAAACGTTTGTCTGTAGTAACTAATGATAATTGCGGTTTGCTAATAACATAAATTGGTAAAAAGAACTGATCGACATTTAAAATATAAATGCTGCATCGTGTTTCTATACAGATTACATGATTTCGCAAAGCCAAATTTGTATTTTGCTAAATAAAGATACATAGTATATATATAGTATATAATTGTAGTAAAGAATAATAATCATTTTACTATGTTTGAATCGTTATTTGTTTTGTATTGAACACATAATAATAACACTATTGTATTAATAATTAAATGTAATGAAGTGGAAATATACGTTTACACTATTTTTATTTCGTTCTTCATGAAATAAAATTAAACAGAGGGTAGGACTTAAAAAAAAGATTTCCTTGGATTTGGATGAAAGTTTTAGAAGAACAGTTAAAAAATATATAAATAAAGAGAAAAAAGCAGCATTAAAAGTACAAACTGTCGCGTGCTTCCCTGCTATTTATTTTAAGGTCACAAAAACCTAGCACACTGACTACCACTGTACCAAGACCAATAATTCCTAGACACTTGGTTTCTTTTACTAAGTGCGCCAAGTCATTACCGTTAACTTATTCTCTGCTTGAAAGTTTTTACAATCATTATACTCGTAAAGAATAGCTTAAAAATTTGAACAATTAAACATTAACAATTTCTTTTTAATATTTAGAACGTACACAAATACGTTCAAAGTATGCACGTATAATAATCATATACTCCTATAAAGAATATAATTAATTCTTTGCCTTGCAGAAGATCAATATCGGTAATAAATATTAATAAAATATAAATAATATTACTAAAATAAATATAACAAAACTTTAATAAAACGAAATATTAATAAAAACTGAGAAACATTCATATTCATTAAATTGAATTGAAATTCTTCGCAACCCGTCTGATTCAACACAGGCAACGGTTTAATGATACATTTGACGAAAATATGTATGTACGTTGACAGTCTGATATATACGACGGTAGTAAAATGGTTTAAATTTTGTTAGACAGTGACTCTCAAGGATGTATGTGTATATATATAGTATACTCTAACAACTGACGAGGAGTGCAGACGAAAGTGTCGCGAAACTAACGAAATCATTTAGTCCGGGCGATTCGTCGACGTGTCAGGAAAATCGAGCGTTAACATAATTAGGTAATTAAGCCTCGCAGATGAAATCGGACCGTGCTTGTCCTATTCAATGTGTCGCGTGCAGTGACAATGAAAACCCACAGGAAAACTGTGCGTTTCAACCCCCGCGGGCGGTTCTGTCACCGTGTACGCTCCGCTACCCTATGCTCGTTCGTAAACATTTGTCGGATACAATGCAGCCAACTGATAAAAAGGAGCTCGCAATACAGCGCCACATATAAAAGCATTAATTACGGCCGCTTTTGTGTTCGTGCAAAAGGCACGCTTTGAACGTCATTTTGATACGTGACATTCGATTTCACGAACGTTACCCTGGGTTTTGTCATGTTTAAATCGCACCTCTAAACGTTCGTTATACGCTCGGAACAGATTTTCGAACAATTCCAAAACCGTTCGTTTCAATGCTCTTCACGTCAGGGAATTTTCATCGGTGATTGTTTCAACTGATGTTTCAATATACTTAAAGTTATTCGGGAAAAAAACGAGATACAACAATGACCAATGAAACCAATTATTCGGCAGATTGCTTAAGTAAAATTATATCATTCTTTCAATACGTAAAATGATTTGTATTCAGGATTTATACAGATGAACATGTATAGATAAAAGAGGGGTGTCAAGTTTGTAATGATACGATCGAATAAACACCATGATTGTATTGTGCTGTATTACGTATGTGTAGAAATCTGTGAGAGTCATTGTTAACTGATATCACGTTGATAAATATCTTTTTTATGTTACCGTTATCTTTTATCTTTCTTAGTAAGCATGCATTATTGTCTGCGTTTTTTGTTTCGAGGTAATGAACTTAACTAAAAAATTATATTCTCTTATAATGTGATTCTTTAAGTTTGAGTATATAAAGCACTTTAACGTAATTAGCATAAATTGCTCTAGGAGAGAGTAGATATAACATCTGAATAATAATCAAACGTTTTATTAAGCGGGTGTTCAGCCACACGATTGCTCATTGTAATGATTTGACAAGCTCCATAAATATTTAAACAAACTGTCAGTCTTCATGATCCCTATTAAATGCAGGAAATTTAGTATCATAAAAGTGATTGTTCGATTGGCCGGAAATTCTTTTATTCGATTACGTTATCTCCCTATTAATTCGGATGCGGAAGGTGTTATTTTAGATAAAAAATAATGAATATTTTCCTACAGACCTTTAAACTTAATTATTATGTTATAAAATTAATTATTATTTTCAAGAGAGAATTTGTTTGAATAAATGATTAAAAAAAAATTAAAGTGATCTTGACGTATGAAGAAATGTTTATACAATTTTCTATATAAATATTACTCTAAATAAACCTACTTATATACATGTCGTTTGAAAAAATGTCACATATAAATATTTAAATGAGTGTAATAAATTTAAATAATTGTTTCCTTCTCATTTAAAATTAATCGTAAAGAATGGATTATTTATTTATTTATTTTCACATACATGATTAAAGTCAGGACGATTTTTGAAACTTGGATAAACCGTCTAAATAACTGATGATATATTTGTGAATTGATTAGAAAATATCACATTTATATTCCATTAAACAAATTGTAATTACTACTCTTCAAATCTTATTTTATTCTCAAATTAATTTGCTAATCGTAAATTAGCTCTTCGCTAGTTGTAAATTTAATACATCGGGGATTGTGACCGAATGAAATTATACCTACAAACGATTCAAGAAACTATCTACCGTTTGCTTTTTTTTGATAACACACGCGTAATAACCTTCTGCAGATAAAGTAGGAAGCCGGTAATTCGAATAAATGGTAAATCAGCAAGCTCGTACCTGTTGAATTGTTGTGGCAATATTTTTTGTATATTTTATGTAGAACATTTTTCGTATAAATATTATTGTATTATCCATAAAAACAATATTGGCGACATGATTACCTTCATAAACCAGGATCACAACATTTATGTACGAATAATCACAAACGCATCTATAATTATACATAAATATTGACGATTACAATTTATGAAGAAAAATATCATTCATTATACCGTATTGTATAAAATGCAAAATTAAAATAGAATTTGTTACATATACAATTAATTATTTTTCATCGTATAAAGACTAATTGCAAGATTTACTAACATTTAAAACTTTTAGTAGGCTCAAGAATGATGTGCATTTTGCACAATTTCCTGTGATTTATTTACATTAACGAACACGAATTAAAATCTCAATATTCGTTTTACGATGTTTTTATTTAAAATCGTATAAGCTATCCATAATGATCGAAATAAGTACAAAGCTATTGACGTAATTCTCAAACAGATTTTAACCGACGTTACGAAACAGGTACAAAAGGATAGTGCCTTGAAGGGCTAAGGTGGAAGGTCCGTTCCAGGGAATGGGGCACGAACGTCACTTGGCAATCTTAAGCCAATGCACTTGTACTGGGTCAGTTATGTCTCGCACACAGCTACCGTCGGCTAATCCCTTGGATCCGTTAAATACACAAATGGTTCCCACCTGTCTGCTCCCGAAAAAGGGTTAATAAACTGCAATCGGTATAGGGAAACATCGAGATAACAATATCGATAACATCTTTAATTTAAACGAAAGAAATAGATTAAAAACAAATTACCGTTTACGCATAAAGAAAATATATGTTGTTCCTTATCTTGTTAAATCAAACTACTTTTCGATATCAAAATCCTATTTGCCAAGCATTATTTTATTTTATTATTAATGTATCTTACAAAACAGATTAAACTGTACGGCAGCGGTAGTATCTATTTGATCAATAATAATATTCACTGCACGTTCGTTAGCGTATCGTATCGAAAATACCGTGACAGTAGCAGACAAAGGAACCGAATTGCGGTCGTCGAATCAATGCGGCGTTGTTTATCAAAAAAAAAGTTCATTCGAAAAACCTGAAACGCAACCCCTGAAATTCAACAAGTGCCCCTCAAACTTGGGCGAGAGAGGATAAACGAGTGAGCGAGCAACATCCAACCTCTATTACGTGCATGACGCGACTGATCGGCCCGCGCGGGGAGTGGGGAGACAACGGTGTGCGGGTCGACGGTGGGGGTAGACGGTCGGTTACGATCGGTCAGGCTCGCGGGTGTTCGGCTGCTCTCGGCTTCTGGTTTCTCCCGCGGCCGCATAAGCGGTGTCAGCGTGTGCGCAGACCGGCTGCGCAGCAGGCGTGTGCGTTGTCCAGATTCTTTGTGCCATTCCTGGCATACCAAAAACAAGAGTGGTGACTGCGCTCGTATTTACCGGGGTGCAGCGTTGCGCGCTAATATTACTGTGCAAATTTTACCCGCCGTGTAAAAGGCTCCGCGCGCGCGCGACGCCACGTCAGCTCGCCTAGTGGTAAGTACATTAAAGAATATAGTGTCGAAACGTCCTCGAAAGAGCGCGTCTACTCGTCCACGCCCGTGTGTCCCAGCGGCGTCGTCCCACACAGGGGCCGCGCACCGAACGGATTCGACAGTAGCGACGACGGCGATATACACACCGTCGGTCACCGACAGACGGACAGACGGACGAAAGGGAGTGAGAGACAGAGGGCGACAGACGCTCCGCGAAAGAAAGAGACGTACGGACGAGCCGACAGTGTGATAAAGACAAAATATTACGTGGAAAAGAGAACGTGAACGCGAACGGAGTGCGT